GTTTGTGAAATGGAAGAATTCAAATGTAACCATAGCTGTCTTAAATGCCTTTTGACTTTGGTAGAGAAAGAGAACATCAGGAAGGAAAACACATGATTAGAAGCTTAGAATTACAAGCAGAGAGGAAGGATATTTACATACATATTTAGAATACATTCTAAAAGTTTTCCTGTTCTTATAAGCCATCTTTCAAAATGTTAGCAACTGTTATTATTGAAAACATGGAGGCCTTAAAATGAGGTAACAGATCTTTGGAGGATTGATTGTAGGATTTTTCATTGTAGGCTATGAATATTATATTATGATTGATAATATTTTTAGAATAGGTGCAAATTGTCTCTTTTGTTCTTTAGGGAGAGTTAATATGGAACAGCTATACAAAATAGCAGATAAATTTATAATAATTTTAAGTTAAGAAATATACCTAATTATTACCTTCATTTTGTTATCCCTCTTTACCAAATGCCATGGAGCTGAAGCTGAGCAAAGCCGTAGTCTTTTGTATTTCCACAAGTGATTAATAACTCCTGGCCTGAAATTCCTATAAGTGATTTTATGTTTGAAATTTAATAGTGATGAAGTATCAAATGGTTTTGGTAATATGGTTTAATATGGCCACTTTCCAATTATCAGCAGCTTTGAAGGCCAGCTCCAGACATGGCTTTCTCTTCTTTCAGACGTTTTTCTTCAGTGTGGGTAGCTTATGTTCCTCTATAAACAAGCTCTTTATAGAAGCAAGCAAGAAGAGGTCTTCTACTAATCTCTTGTTTCCATTTTTTAAATAATGAAAGAATTTCACTGTTGAGGTAGATAAGGTCTTTTTTAACAAGTATACTGTAGACAATAAAGAGTTCACTATCCTAGGTCGTGTTGGGTCAGTGGGTCACTGTTATATGGAACAGACAACCACAGATCCTCGCCTTTTAAAGGAGATGCAAAAATATGTACATCAGGAAGGATCAAACTTAAAGAAAGGCCTGAAAAAAAGGAAGTGAAATGGCAAAAAATGAGGGGGAAGTTGGGGCCGGAAGGACCTCACGTAAGAAAGCTAAAGGTATAGTTGTCTGGGAAAGGCATGTAGGTTTCAGGATACTTTGTTACATATTAGAGGATGTGACTGGTGGTTTAGCAGCTTCACCAGCTGGTTTGCAGCAGCAGTCCATCCAAGGAAGTAAAAATAGTTATTTAGCTTCTCTGCCAGTTCACATTTAGGCTTGAAAGCAATTAATTGCAAGGGACTCAATTGCATTCAGTCAGTCATTTCTTTTGGACTTGGAAAAAACAAGAGAAACAGGACCAGAAATAGTCCTCTGATTGTAAAATGCTGTACACACAGGATTTAATGTGGCAAATGCAATACTTCAAGCCTTCATCTGTATGAATATCAGATGACTGAGTTGAAAACTTTGGGAAAAAAAAAAAAAGTCAAAGCAGTCATGGTCCTCAAAAGCAGTCCTTGATCTGTCTACAAAATACAACTATTTTTTTTTCTGGAGTTTACACTGGATGTTTGTTATAGCTACAGCATTTATACTGAGTAACTAAGGCTATGTCAGTCTTTCTATTCTGACCTGAGTTTGGCAACTTACTCCAGGCTGAAACTTATTGTACAGGAGCAAGATTTATTCTTTGCAATGTACTAGGAATAGGCTGTGTTTCTCTATGTGACAACAGCACATTCACCACTGTGTTTTGGTACTCATTGTATTGAGGGTTTTGTTTTTTTTACATATCAGTTTGGGTGTGACTCATTTTAAAATCAGCAATAATATAAAGAAGAGCTAGTATAGAAACAGTTTTTAAAGATAAATCCTAGGAAAACAGTAAACAAATATTCAACAGCAAAAAGATGCAAAATAAAAGCCCTGTTAGAAAAGAATGTTAGGGGTAGAGAGGGAAGAGCTTGGAACTGCGAAATTTGCCAAGGAACACTAACATTCATGATCTAGTCTAATTTCTTTCCCAGGCTGGACCCGCCAGTGAAGTGATTTTTCAATTTAGAAGCATCTGTAGTCCATCTTGTTTTTCCTTCCCCACCGTCAGCTTGATTGCAGGGTATTAGCATATAGTTACGTACAGTGCACTTCTGTTATTACAACTGACATCTAGTAGGAGTAGCACTATTTCCTGCTTGCTCCTCCTCCAAATGCTGAGAAAACTCTCTCCTTTCTAGCTCTTCTTTCCTGATAAGAAGGCCAAGGGAAAATGCTTAGGATGGAAACTTTTTCAAGTGCTCATCACTAGAATTCTGGAATAAATTCCTATACTTTACAATAGCCCTTTTTGTCACTTTTGCAATGAAGAGAATGCATCCTACAAGATATGACTCAGAACATTCCTGGAACGTAACACCTTCAGTTCTCTTTTTACTTAAAATTTGCCCATGGCAGAGGGATTGTAACTAGATGATTTTAAGGTCCCTTCTGACCTAAGCTATTCTATGATTCTAAGAGTAATTGAAAAAAGGCTGATCTTTTGTATTACTGAAGAAAAAAATACCCCAAAGCTACAATCATTTCCCCACTTAAAGTGTTTCTTTCTGCTTTCTAAGAAATAATTGTTTCAAAATACTTTAACAGCCTCTGATGTACAATTGTGAAAAGAATAAAAGTTTACTGTCTGTATTCCTCCTTTTCACTCTGTCAATGTATCAGTGGGTGTATAGGGTCAGTAGAAAACTGATGAGGCCAGCAGGAGGTTTGAAGCTAATGTGATGCTATATTCCTAAAATCCTCTTCCTAATCATGCTCTTAGGAAAATGAGTTAAGCATAAAGTGTGTGCACAAGTGTATCTGTTTTACATATTTGACTAGGCTTGTTTCCTTAATTATTTATTTACATAGAATAAAACAACAACAACAAAAAAAAAACAGCAAAAAAACAAACAACAACAAAAACAACACCTTTCTAATAGGAGAATTGATTTGTTTATCACTTAAGAAGAACAAACAGCAGTAGTTTAATTCACAATCAGATAACAGATTAGTTTGCAAAGCCACTGTGCAATTAGAGATGCTTAGGTTTAAATGCATCCCTCCTCCCTACATCTCTACACCTCTGATAGAGAAATCCATACTTGCAACTTGTTGCAATTTAATATTGTGATTACGAACACAAGCAACTGTTAAAATATTTCCTTCATTCTTGGACTGACAGTTACTCCCGTCTCTGAATAGTTTGCATTACTAACAACAGAATTTTTCTGAGTTGCAAAATAAGAGGCTGAATTCTTTTTTAAAATTGAAACAACAATTAGAAAAGCAGTAGTATGTTAGGCCACTTGCATACAGTCCTACTTGCTTGAGGTTCTAGCTTCTCAGCAACGTGTAATGTTTTTGAATGTAAGTAAGCAACTAACAGCAATCTGAAGATGGAAGAATTAACTGAATGGAACCTTGAACAAATTCACACTACCTTCACTGCCCACTGGAAATAATAACCACTGTATTTTATTATTTTTTTTAATAGATCCTTTATGTTCTTCTTCCTTCATTTCTTCATATGTACATCAAGGAGACAACCATTTCTATTTGGAAATGTAGGGTGTAAAATATAAGTGGGGCTGTTAGCAACACTTGTATTTTATTTTTTAGCTGACAAAACAGCATGCATTGTTTTATTTAATTAAAATTCAAGTAAACTATTATAGAATACTTATCCAGAACTCATGGAGTAACTGAAAGAAAATAAAAAAACATGAATAAAAATTGGCATAAATAATGAGGATCTTTAAGTATAGTTCACAATTATTAGTAAATACATTACCCTTTTCACATTCCTATTTCTTAGATACTTTCCAAGCAATAACTCCTCTGTACATGATGCTATAATAGCTCTCGGCTATGAAAACAATCTATTTACTGAATGAAATCTAAGTTCAAATGTAGAAATGCACATAAAAGAACAAGTGCTCATTTTTTAAACAATTCCATGAAGATAAGATTAAAGAAAAAAAAGACTTGCTGCATCTTCATCTTAACTTTCAACATTACAGATAAAGAGTATTTTCTGCCACATCACAGTATCGTTCTGTTATTCTTTGATCTAATATTTAGCATTGTTTCTGGATGTATGATCATGTGATTCCTACTTTCTACGTGGCAACTAATGTAGAAACAATCTGTCAGGACTGTCATTGAGGATCAATGCTAAATGTTACTCAGCAGGATGCAGACTGTATCTCGGTGGGTGTCCTCCTACTTATGCTTTGATTAAGTTTGTTGTAAAGAAAAGCCTACTTGCACTTACAGCACTCATATTTCACCTCCTCCATGGAAAACATATTACAACCTCTTGATTTGTACATGTCTCAACAATACAGACACTTTAGAAACTTATACGCAGCATTTTCGAAGATTCCTTCAGTATAATCTGATTATAAAGGGGTTATGTGACAGTTTGTCTCTGCTACTTATTGTGTGGCTTAAATCTCTGAGGACAAGCTGACTGCACATCCACACAATTTAGAATGTGATGGCAGCTGTGGTTCAAAACTGTTCTGGAACAGTTCTAGGGTCTTCTGGGGAAGCACCTTGTTGTACACCAAGGTATGGGAGGATTTTATTCTACTTATTACTTCTTATAACTTCATTAGATAGTAAAACTACAGGCTGGCTACATAGGATAAAGATTTAATTAAACAGAGTGGTGATTTATTAACTTAAAGCAAGAAGGAAAATGACATTTTTAAAATACTTTTCTGCATGAATGTGAAGTAATAAGTCTACAAATAGATCTTCATCTGTGAGCATTGATAAATAGATCAGGGTTGTATATACTGAGTGAAAAAAAGAGGGATATTACATTGCACAGCAAGCTGACATATTGCATTTATGAAAGAATATTTCAAATAAACAATAGTAATTTCAGAGAGCATACCTAATTTCAGAGAGCACACCATTTTCTGTGTGGCAAAAACTCACCCATAACTTTCTGTTGCCTCATAGTGTTAGCTGTATTCAATAAAGTTTTATAACACTGGTGCTCTGTTAAACTTCCAGGCATGAACGAATACATACCAAAAGACCCTACCATGTGGATGGAGCTGAAAAGTACTCTCAAGATGATGATCTGGTAAATCTAGAAGTTCTTGATGAGGTATTGTATTTTCTGAGCTTCAGTTTCCAATCTCTCTGCCTTACATTTTCCCTGTTTCTGCTCTTTAGGCTTCTTTTAGCATAATGATAAGTGTTTCTTCTTGGAAGCTTTTGTTCAGCATGGAAAAGGAGTTGTCTCATAATCTATCTGCTATCACCATTTCTTTAGTAATAGTCTATTTAATAAGGTAAAAACAATAGAAGTGAATCCTATTCTGTGGAAGTGGTTAAATATGTGTGATACTGGTTTAAAATATTTTCTGAGTTTCCTAAAATGGAAAGTTTAGTAATGAAGATGTAAATTGAAGTGACTTTTCTAAAACCGATGAATGTACAGAGTATCTACAGCTTCTGAGTAAAACATGGTAAAACAACGTCAGCTGCATATTTCATTATATCACCTATGTGCAGAGTATCTGTAAAGTTCTTTTCTGAGAATCCTTAACTTGCATGCCAGTAAGAAAAATACATAATAGCAAATTATTTTAGCATCCTGTTTAAAATTAAAAATTACTATCCTTGTTTCATGGTCAAATAAAAATTAAATAGAAATGTACTGTGAAGTGCAGAAGCAATCTGTTTGGCCATTTTATCTTTACAAAGTTTACTTGAACTGATGAAATAAAGTACAAGTTAATCTTGTAGTAGGATGTGACATTTAACTTAGTTTTATGGCTTTAGTGCAAAGTTTTAATTTTTTTTTTTTTGTGATATTGGTTTTTGAGAAACAATTAGTAATACTTATTGTACAAACCTCTTAATTGATGTTCTCAGTATATTTACAAAAATCTCACTGACTGGGAAAATAGTGCTTAACAATCAAATTTTTTGTAATCTCAGGATACAATTATCCATCAGCTGCAGAAACGCTATGCTGACTTACAAATTTATACATACGTCGGAGATATTTTGATAGCCTTAAACCCTTTCCAGAATCTCAGCATTTACTCTCCTCAGGTAAGAGAGGTACTGTACACTTGAAGATGTGTACAGTACTTGCTTTACATTTTGTAATAACACTACTTGCTAAAATACTCACATGATGGGAGTGCAGTCTAAACCTCAGTCTTTTCTTCCTCTAAAAACTATGTCTACAAATTGTTCTCTATTTTTACTTTTACTTTAGTCTTGTTTGATTTAATTGCTTTGTGCTTGGTGACACAAATTCCACAGGAGTGCTAAGATTGCCCCAGCCACAGCTGTTCCTCTTGTCTGGCATTTAGGGCTTTCTTCTGGATAACAGAAGATAGTTATATGAACTACCTCATGCTGAGTCTGTTGTTTTCTAAACAATTGCTCTGACTGGTTATTACATGTCCTGTGCCATCAGCTGTGGCTTAAAAGAAATCAGTGAATTGAATGCTGTAAAGCTAGAGACAGCTGAATTCTCTATGGATATGAAGAGTGGTAGAGCCATAAATCTTAGTCTCCATGGGTACCTAAGTCAGGGCTGCAGGCAGAGGAACAGATTCCAGCTTCTCTTTTATCTGTGCAGTTTCTTTGGTAATACCTGGATATTACCATGCTTAAATGCTTCGGTCTGAAATTCTGTTCCTTGTGATACAGGTCTCCTCACCACGTTGTAAAAGAAATGTTGACATTGGCAGTACCAAGAATTACCACTCTTCAGTCAGAATTTTGCAATAGAACAGGCAACTACCGACTTTGTCGGTTAGCAGGCAGAAGATACTCAGTATTCTCCTTTTCAGGTCTTAACTGTATTGTTAAATTCTGTATTTTTACTGCTGTGTTTTTTTTTCTTAATCTAGTTCTCTAAGCTTTACCATGGTATGAAGCGCTCATCCAATCCCCCCCACATATTTGCCTCTGCAGATGCTGCCTACCAAAGTATGGTGACATTCAGCAAAGATCAGGTAAAAATATTAATTTTGTTATAGATATCACATTAATCGTAGTGCCACTTTGCTATAGATATAGCTTAAGTTCTGTTATGTTGTGCTTTGAGATTTTTTTTCTGTAAGCCTTTTATTCCTGTATATGAAAAACAGCAAAATCTAACTGGGACTTTTGAAAACAATGTAGTGACATAAAAGATCATATACAAGGTTAAGTGGGTCAAATAGAAGTGTTACCTAACCTTAGAGTATCCTGCATACCCATGAAGTGCTGGCAGTTGACAGCAGTCACAGGCTGTTGCAATACACTTTGATTCTAGCCTGTCTTGCTTTAGATATCATAATCATTTTTACCTGTATAAAATAAGGGAGTCTCAATACTTCAGCAGGTTGACCAAGTTTGAACTGCTCTTCCATTGCATAAAGCAGAAAGCAATTTAACAAGCAAGGAAGGAATGTAATGAGTATGCACATCCTGCAGTTATTTTAATGAGAATGAAATATTTGGCTGCAGAAGTTAGATTCCTTTTTATTACATTCTTAAAATTGTAATTTTGCAGTCTTTCTAACGTGATGTGTTGTATGTACATGAATACTGGGGCCTAATAATTGTGTGTTGTTATCTGGAGAAAAAAATCAATTTTGTCATCAGCACATGAAGCTAACTTTATAGATTTTTAATATAAAATATCCTTCCTATCTTCTTAGGAAGTAATTTGCATTTAGATCTAAATCTTTATGCAAAGATAGCTAATAATTACTCGTAGGCATCCAGGCATGTCTGCTAGCTTATATAGTTTGCTATTTGCAATCGTTTTTATCTCCATTAACTGAGAAGTTATGCAGGTTCTTCAGGTAAAGATGGACTAGATCCCTGGTGTAGCTAGAGAAAAAATGTATTTATTCTTTTTGTTTACCCATTCAGCCTTCCCTTGTATTTTCCTTTGAAGCCTGAAAATTGACTATAGGTCTAATGTTTCTAGGGAATCTCAAGTCGTGTTCTGGCTAGTATGAGTAATGCAGGAACTCGTGGGCCTTAAACTGTGTAAACTGTTGTATGTGACTCCCCTGTTAAGGTAGATTAAGACAATTTCAGGTAACACAAACCTATAAATACATTGATGTTTTATTTGCTGCTTCATGTGTTATTTAAAAACAAAACAAAACAAACAAACAAACAAAAAAAAAACAGCTGAAGTTCCTCCATATATTCCAGGATGGAGATGGAATAATAGATGATCTTTCTGTGGGAGTGTAAAAATGTTGTCTGGAGAAATGTTATCCCTTCCAAACCATCACAAAGCTTAGTTCTGCATCAGTCATCACTGTATCAAGTATTCTAAAACCCTGCCTCTTTTCCCAGCAAAATCTTTTATATTTACTGTAGTTCAGGTAACTTCAAGCTAATCCCTGAGTTTGTAAGCCTTTGGATAACCTATAAAATACTGTGTGTTATATACAGTCTACCAAATCAAGAAGAATATGGACATGTTCTCCCAGAATCACTCAATGAACATAGGCATATTTTTCTGAAATGTTTAGGTTTGTTGTTTTAGTCTGAATATCAGCATCATGTACATGATGATCTCTATGCAGCAACAAACCTTATCATTGTTTTCAGTGCCAGGAACAAACTTTTGGTTAGTGTATTAAATACAGCTTTACCTTGGTTTTCCATTAATATATGTGAGCTCATGAAATTAGCTCAAATGCACTGATAATTAAGTCACGTGAACTAGCAGTGGCAATCTTTTGATTTTTACAGGCTGTGTATGTGCATAGCATGCATTAGCTTTGTAGATAGGGTCATTCCTTTCTATGTCTTAGAGCTTAGAATTTTACTCACTCTTTCTCAAGTACGCACATTTCTGTCAGGCATTGCAAGATACAGTTTATAGAAACATAGAATAGCTTAGGTTGGAAGGGACCTCAAACCTTAATTTCAGTTATCTAAGGAATAAAAGAATGATTGCGGTGAGCCTCTACTGACCTTTCAGAAAGGACTTGACAGATCTTACTCCTAAGATATTTTACAGTCTTGGTACTAAACATTAAGTAACAGATAGGAGCAACAGATGAGAATCTATTTATTGACCATGTGGTGAACTGTACACTTACTGTTTTATTTGTATGTTCAGTGCATTATCATCAGTGGGGAAAGTGGTGCTGGAAAGACAGAAAGTGCCCATTTGATCGTCCAACATTTGACCTTCTTGGGAAAGGTATTTCTAGCAATTATGTAAAACAATGAATAAATGCTACCCACTCCCTGGCATTTCCACTTTATTGAATGTTTAATATTAAAAATTGTTCTTGTGAATTAACCCACTTGAGTAAGGGACAGAGTAATCAAGCATTTGTAAGCACTGAATCATGCCATTAGGGTATGACCTGCACCAAGCCATTTCACTGTAGGAGAAAGTGACAAATTCCAAATGTTCAGTGCCTGTAGTTATCTGCAGTGTTAATGACTTATATAACATTGATCATGTGTACAATAAAACATAACAGATATTGCTTTGGCTCTGGTCATGGAAGCTCTTATGTTTTTAAATGTTCTGAGTAGTGTTACTGCTGCAAAATAGTGTGGAAATCAAGTGTGTAAGTTTGACAAGTGTATGTGTTGGTATGATTGTTTTCTTAGGTAATATTCTTTTTGTTCAGTTTTTGGTGGCTTTGTTGCCTTAAGTAAATTTCATGAAGCTTCAGAGATAAAAGAGTTGCAGAGAAGGAAGAATATGGTTTTCCTTACCTGTAGGTGTTTTCCCCTTCAGTGTATGTTTTTTATTATGTAAATAGGAAGATCAATGGAGTATCTAACTCCATAAGAATGGGATAATGGGATATTATGCTTCTTAAGCAGCGATTGGATTGTGAGTAGGCAATATATTCTTTTAATGGTCCTTCTGATTCATATCTGTTCTGTCAAGGCCAATAATCGTGCTTTGCGTGAGAAAATTCTTCAGGTGAATCCTCTGGTTGAAGCATTTGGGAATGCCTGCACTGCCATCAATGACAACTCAAGTCGCTTCGGAAAATATCTGGAAATGATGTTCACACCCACAGGAGCTGTAATGGGGGCAAAGATTTCTGAGTATCTACTTGAAAAGTCAAGGGTTATAAAACAGGCTGTGTAGGTGCACTGATCATCTGTCCTTTCTCATTTTTGTAATGTTTAGATTCTGTTTAATTCCCTAAAAACTCTATTTAAGTGCTTCCAATAGTGTCTCCTGCTGAAGCAATAATCCTTTGTGCAGTACAATTAATGACAAGAATAGTTTGGTTCTTTTGGACCAAAAGCCATACCTGTTCTGTTCTTTTTTAATAATGTTATTATCTGGAATTTCTGTTTTACAGCTGAAATAGTTATCTTTGGGCTTCCATTAGTATTGGCCCTGGTCGTTTGACACCTGTCTCAATGAGCTCATGATAAAGACTTTTGCTTTTACCTTGTACAAGGTACTGCAAATATGAACATATGCGCTGTATAGAACGTGCTTTTCTTTTTTTTAGGGGAGAGAAAAATTTCCATATATTTTATTATATTTATGCCGGCCTTTATCATCAGAAGAAACTTTCTGAATATAGGCTTCCTGAAAAAAAGCCTCCCAGGTAACTATCAGTCACATGTTTTGACTACTCATTATAATTATCTATTGAACAGTTCTTGCTTTCAGTATGATTTCTTCAAGTCTGTCATAATCCTTCTGTATCCCTGAAGGATCTTTTTTTAATCCTCTCATGTGAAAAAAAAAAAAAAAAAAAAAAAAAAAGGATGGACAATAAGGAATTACAGTATTTGTATTAAAAACTTGAACCATTTAAAGAGAAGGAAGAAACATTACTGCATAAATATTTTATCATACGTTCAGATCAGGACAGTTACCCTGTGCTTTCAGTTCCAGTTCAGGAACTCCAAATATGTTTTGAACTTGTGTTTTTTAATTGGTATTTGTACCTGGAGAGCACCTAGTCTTTATGACTTCTGTATTCTGAGTTCTGTATCGGTTGAGATCATGCAGTAAAATGTTAGTAACACTATGAACAGATTATTAACAAAGAATAAGCAAAAGGAACTGCAACAGAAACAAAAACGTCTTATCAATCAGCACTAAAATATTTAATTGAAAGATATGAATAAATGCTTTTTTCAATTAATGATGTATTTGCATTATAGTCACTGTAGGTTGTTCTGACTTATCACCTATTTAGAGCTTTCTTTCACTCTGTTTAGATATATTGATAATGAAACTGGAAGAGTAATGCACGATATTGTTACTAAGGATTCCTATGGAAGACAATTTGAAGCAATTCAGCATTGCTTTAGAAGTATAGGATTCACTGATGAGGTAAGATATCCAGTTGCTAAACCACTGTTGACCTTCCTGAAACAACCTCCAGTGTTGCTTGTGCTTAGGCTCCCACTTGGCTGTGTGAATATACAGCATGCCACAGAATCTCTCTTATAACAGAAATGAATTATGAAAGTAAAACCAAACACCTGGAAGCCAGGACCAGTCACAGCTCTCAGTTTGTATTGGGGCAAGTCCATTCACATTTCTGTAGAATCTTCTTTCTGTGTAAATAACAACTTCCTTCAATTAGAACTAGATCTTTGGACAATCTACAAACTTTAATCACCATCCAATGCTCACCTTTTTCTTTCATAAACTAAGTTTTACGTACATATTTGATTGGATTCCTTGAGGGTGCTTTTTGTCATTTTTACAGGAAGTGTATTCAGTGTACAGAATTCTGACTGGTATCTTAAATACTGGAAACATTGAGTTTGCTGCCATTTCTTCACAACACCAAACAGATAAAAGTGAAGTTCCAAACTCAGAAGCCTTAGATAATGGTAACTACATTTTAACATGATAAACTCTACAAATGCCATTGGACTGTATTTGTGAGAATCTGTAACTTGTGGTAACAGGCTATGCTAGTGATGTCCTCAGAATAGTCATAATTTATATATATATTCCACACTGTCTTTCAGCTGCTGCACTGCTAAGTATTGGGTCAGAAGAACTGCAAGAGGCCCTAACCTCCCACTGTGTTGTAACACGGGGGGAGACTATTATCCGAACAAACACTGTGGACAAAGCAGCTGACGTGCGAGATGCCATGTCTAAAGCTCTTTATGGCAGACTCTTCAGCTGGATTGTAAATCGCATTAATACGCTTCTTCAGCCAGATAAAAATATATGGCAAGTTACACATCACTGAATCATTTGTATTTACTGTGCATCTGTCTTTGATGGGTTCATCCATTTGTATATTTTTTGATTTTGCAGAAGAAATACTGTGTTTATTTTAGCTAAGACTTCAAAATGACTTTCATGCTGTGATACTGTATTCTGTTTCCAGGACATTAACCCAACATTCTCAAAGAAATGAGTGAAATTTAGCTACTGAAGTCAATGAAAATTGATTATTAAAATTATATAAAATTCTTTAAATAGATGCTTTGCAGGTAGAGAACATTAAGATCATACCAGTGGCCAGTAAGTATTTGAAGTGCGCTGAAAACATTAGTATGTTTGCAGAGTCCTTCCAGTACTTCTGTCATTGTAATTTAGTTGTAAATACAGATCGAGTTGTAATTGATGGTGTTTTCATCGTCAGATAGTGATCTGGTTGCTTTGCTCCTTTACTGTAGAGATTTCTAAAATAAGAGAACCCCGTAGGTTATGTAAAAATGTCTTTACTAACTACAGTGCTCTTGCTTCCATGCTGGGAGACTGGATAAAGCAAGGAGGAAAACAGTACTTTAGTAGGACATAGAATATGTGGAATAATTATTGCAAATATAACTTAAGGATGCTAGTTCTGAATTCCACTAGAGGTAATTTCACTCATCCTTGACAGTGCTGAGATAGAGAAAGGTATCTTCAGAGTTTTTAGACCTCCAGTTCCCCTTCATTGCACTGAATATAAACAGTTGCTATTTCTGACTGTAACCTGAGTCTCTTTGTCTTATGCAGGAGCCGAAGTGAGAAGTTTAGCATGTAGCATTCTGCCTTTCGGAGCATGTCTGCATGACATGTGTTGTTATGTACAGACAGACTGTGAATGAACCTATGTATTGCATTATTAGTGTAATTCTGTGCCCAGGCTCTAAGTAAATAGGTTGTACTTTTTCTTGTCTTAGAGATAGCTTGGAGATCCCTACTTTTACTTATACCCTGGAGAAACACAATCCACACTTGTACTTCCAGTGATTACTGTTGTCTGAGTGTACATAATCTAGCAAGCTAACACATGATGTTTTAATAATCCTGCTGTAGCAGCAGCAGATTTGGTAATTGTCTTGCTGACTGGGTGTAGCAAAAACATGCTAATAGAGCTTGGCACCTTTCATTTACCTGGAGGATCTGTGAGTAGGTTTGGTTCAGGGTGTCTTTATTGGAACCACTTATTTTATTTCTGAAGTCTGTTATTCAGTAGTTGTGATTCTCTTTTTCTTCTTCATGGGAGTTTGTAAAAGACAAGCAGAAAACCCAAAGTGTTAATGATTCTCAACAAATTGTTATAAATTCAAATACACTTTTTCTTCTATGTTTTTGCAGCAAATTGAATTGATTGTGCCATCTTAGTTACCATGTTTATTTTGATTGTAACTGGATGTTGCCCATACTGAATTCTGTTTAACTTTTCACATGCAGCAATACTGAAAATGGAATGAATGTTGGTATACTAGATATATTTGGATTCGAGAACTTCTCAAGAAATTCCTTTGAACAGCTGTGCATAAATATTGCTAATGAGCAGATCCAGTTTTATTTCAATCAACATATTTTTGCACTTGAACAGGTAAATAAAGCTCTCATGAAGTTTAGTTGAATCTGTCATCTTGACCCATAGATTATATTCAGGAATACATTATTAACTATAAAGTGGTTGTGGGATTTAAATGTATGTAATGTTCACATCTTTCAGCATAGTTGTTGCTGTTTTGTAAATAATGTTGTAGGGCCTATAGAGTATTCCTATGCATCATAAATGTCCTAGTGGTTCAATATTAAAACTTTGTTGATTTTGTAGATGGAATATCAGAATGAGGGAATTGATGCTGCTACAGTGGAGTATGAAGACAATCGTCCACTTCTAGATATGTTCCTCCAGAAACCCATGGGTCTCCTTTCTCTACTAGATGAAGAAAGTCGATTTCCTCAGGCAACAGACCTAACATTAGTTGGTATGAGCAAACAAAAGTCCTGGCAAACAACTAATGTATTTTGAGAGTCTGATGTGATATCTTTACTTAAGCTTTTCTGGTCTAATTGTCCTACTGAGGCTGTACCATTTTGTTTGACAGTTTGAGTGTATTTTTCATTATGCTTCACCGTGCTTCTATGCTTCACATGTTTTTTATATTGCAGAAGTTATTTTGCATATATTGTGTCAAGAGCTTGTCTTTTCAATGTTTTAAGGAAATAACCTCTGTGTTGTCCCTGTACATGAGGTACAGCAAGAGGCTTTTATCAGCATTTAAAAGGAAAAGCTGAGACATAGCTGAACTTGTGTCTAGGACCACCCTGTGAGTTATCATTAGTGTTGAGAGTAAAACTAAGATCTCCCAGGATTGTAGGCCCATGTTTATCCAATTAGAAAATATTACTTCACTGCAGATTATCTCATCATAACTAGAAAGTGTGTGTTATTTTTTGTGTGCCATCTGGCTGAATATTTCCCTTCCTTCATGCATAGTTTACGCATGTCTTAACAAATCTGGCACAAACTTTAAAACACGTAGTGCATGTTATGTTTAAAAATGTTTTCCTGCTTTTATTTACTAGAACTTCGTATTTCCTTGTAGTACGTAACAGAATTTTAGTTTGTTCAATCAAACATTGCAGCAGGGATTCAAACACTTAAAGAAAAATTACAACTGCCTGGTAAATTGCATGATATATGTACAAGATTTTTCACTTCTGGGCTGCAACTTGAAATGAGGCCAAAGGATGGTTTCATTCCAGTCCTTATTTGTGTGCTAAAGCTGTGAGCCTCCCTGGGGATTCTATGAAACTGTTAATCTCAAATATTGAACTGCACTTTCAAAGCGTCAAGGAGACAGCAACTGAGATATTTTGCCCACTCTTTATGTGCCAGATTATCCCTAATTCCCACCCTCCCAACTCGAAATCTGCCCCCTCTCTTGTACTGCAACCTGCTCACATTCTGAGTTTAATTCTTTTTGATTTAATTACAAGGATTCTCAAACTTGATTAAACATTAATAGAAAGAAAACATAGAAAGAAAATTATTAGAAAGAAAATAAAATGTTAATGGATTATAATATCAGAAAAAAAAATATTTCTGTAGTAATTTCTGACCTACATAAAGCGAAAGATAATTTTGCCTGATGAATCTGGCTGTGAATTTCTAGTTCCATGTGCAGATAAGGAAATACAATACCAAGTTTTACAGTATCAGCACTAGTTCTTTTTTTCTGTCAGCTCTTCAGAGGTATGTTGAAAGAAACAGAAAAATTTTAGAGAGAAGGTGTTTGTTTTTTTTTTCTGCAGGCATACAAAGGCAATTGGGATATGGTCCCAACCTGAAAATATTGACTTATAATTAAAACATGATGCACAAAGCAAAACAAATAAAACTCTCCCTGTTCTCTATTTCCAGTGCACAAAACTCTGCCAGAATGGGGTTTTGAAGTACCTTGTTACAGGGCTAGTTTTGAATGAGTTATTCCATCCAGTAGTAGCAGCTTGGAAGAAAACATGAAGATGGCACATAGTTATTACTGGGTAATCTGACGATAGATGTTCTTACAGTAGATGTTCTTACAGTAGATCTGAGTTCTCAAGCAGGAAGCAGGCCTTAATTAGGATCAAGATTTTGCTTAATCACTGTAATTCATTTTTATCAACTTCACTTCTCAAATGTTTAGATAAATTTGAAGATAACTTGCGATGCAAATACTTCTGGAGACCAAAAGGAGTGGAATTGTCATTTGGTATTCAGCACTATGCTGGAAAGGTGAGGTCATGTGATTTTTATTTAGTTAAAATCATAGTTTTGTAGTCATTATCTGTTTTAACCGGAGTTATTGCTTTTTCCTCTCTTCAATAGACAAAATGATAAAATTTTAAGAAACAAAGAATCTATGATAAAATTTCTGTGTGAAGTAGTCCATTCTAGAACCTATCCTTAGGGCTTTATTAAAAATTAGATGGACAGAAGCCACTTTTTGTCCTGAAAGAAGTCTGGCACCAGAAACACCGTCACTACGATATTTTTAAAGGAACTCTGGAATGAGTACAGGCTATGCACTTTTTAACATTGTGTGAATACCACAGACGTTCTGTGTGTGATCATATATACATACATATTTGTGTAAAGACAGTGTGTAACGGTGTCTGCAATAGAACTTAAAATCCAACAGAGATCACTGGAAAGACTGAGTGGTAATTTTTGAGTAATTTTTGCTAGCACACTCCACAGCACCTACCTTGCTCTCAGCAGTTCACCTGTTACTTTATATGGGAATGATTGTCCAATTGTTTCATGTAACATGAGCTATGCTTGTGAGGTGCATGAATCTTCATTCACAAATAAAGTGAAAATAAAGTAACAGTGTTTTATTTAGTTATTAGTAAAGTCTATTCTGTGGCTTATTATGAAGAGTCAAAAATGTTACGATATGCTCTAGTAAACTTAGTCCAGCTTTCTGACCTGTTACGAATAACTGTAACATTTCACACAAGTTTAATAAATTCTTTGTTCCTGAATGGCCAAGTCATAAAAACACTACTGACTAGTTGTGAAGGCAAGCACTCAATTTCTCTGGAAACACAAGGACTCCAGTGGAATTGGGCTAGAAAGGAATATTGCTGGTAATAATAAAACCAGCTTAAATATTAAAGCAGCTTTCTTAAAGAAAATAAAGAAGGAGAAAAGTAACAGGTTTGTATATGATAACAAATAGCCAGACATTAATTTCTATAAAATGTAATAAAAGAAATTTTTTAAAAAGCAAAATTAAATTGTCCACTGTAAATAATCAAAACTCATGTGCCCTAGCACGTGGAAAGAAATGATGAATGTTTAATTTTTCTACTAACATTCACTAACCTGTTTAACAGGCTTCTTGATTTTGATCTACATCTGAAACTTACTCCTGTTCCCATAACAAAACTAGTTACCAATCAGTTTGGTGCAAGCAATAAATAAATTTTGACTGCCTGGGAACCATTTCTTATTTCACGTGTAAACTGTTGACTTAAGCTTTAATGAGGTATCTCTGTTATATTACTTCATGCATCCCATAGTTTGATGTGACAAACCATAATATAACATGACTAAAACCCACTTTAACCCAATTTGATCTCCACTGTGTAAATGTGATTAATGCAAGTGTTTTGGGTTTGTTTTTAACATGGTTCATGTGTTGAAGACAGTGTGTTAGCTGTACACTTTCAAGTCCTTTGCAGGTGTTATTTTTGTGGAATATTTTTTGGCAACATATCTGACCCTGTTTCCCATGCTAGGTATTATATGATGCATCTGCATTTCTTGAGAAGAATAGAGACACTCTTCCTGCTGACATAGTGGTGGTGCTAAGAACCTCAGAGAACAAACTTCTTCAGCAGCTGTTCTCTAGCCCACTAACCAAAACAGGTACTTTCTGCAACAGCTTTGCTTACTTCGCAATATTTTCAGCCACCTCCTCCTTTGAAAATCTAGTTCTTTCTGTACAAACCTCTGCTTTTCAGCTCGTTCTGCTGTTGTAAGTTTCCTAGATATCTAAAGTGTTAAATAGTAGTACTATTGATATATTTTTTTAAAAAGTATGTTGCCATAAACCCAGGAGGCAAGATTCATTCGCTAGTCCAGAGAAAGGGAGATTATATGGTGTTTAGGGCAAGAACTCATTTTGAAAACAGAATGAGAATCTGTTTTTGTTCTTTGTCCTTTGCTAAGTTCAGTTCATATATTCTTGTGTAGCATTTCTTACAATTTCTAAATCCTGTAATGTTGGTTGTTAGTTTGGAGATAATACCCATCTGTTTAGATTCATCGGTGCAGTACATAAAATAGTTTCTTCCAAATTTTAAAGTATGCATACTGATGTGCCAGGTTTCATAAATTCCGTTTATCTTAAGCTTGTTGACACTGACTTACTTCAAAGTGCACAGATGTGTGGCTAAATAAAATAGTAAGATAAAATTTGCTTTTTCCATGGATTGTTGTCAGAATACTACCGACGTGTACAAATGCAGTATACATGCCAACAAGACAAGAAATGTACACATTAAAAATGTCAATCAATGCTTTCTGTGTTCTTAAAGGTTTTTTTTTCATAATTAATAAGAAAAAGATGTAACAATGAGGAATAATCCAAATACAGTGTGTTGTATTACATTGCAAAACTATTTTGGTCTGATATGATATAAACAAGTGTGGTGGTTGTATTTCTACCAAAAATGTTCTGGGTAAAAAAAAAGTGTACATGCCCTAGGTAGTGCTGTGTAGCCTTACTAGGTAGTGCTGTGTATAGACTGTAGGTACAGTTCAATGTTTGTGCAGCATATCTGTCTGTGATTTCTGGAAACTCGGTAGTCCAGTCACAGCCTCTGGTATTGCCCTCTATCTATCTTGAGACTTCTACATAGAAAAAGAACATCTGGAGCAACATTCTTTGCACATGTGTAACTGATAGCAAAATATCTGTTATATATAATATATTCTACATATGATAGATTCCTACCGATCTGTTCTTTCCTGCAATTAGAAGGCTCTGGATTATTTCCCTTCAAATTACAATTTCAGAGGACCCTGAGAGGTGAGAATCCGCTGAGGAATCTGCTTCTCCCTTCAGCTGTGACAAGCTTAGACGAAGGGAGATGTAGGTTAAGATAGAGTAGGATAGTTTATTGCCTAAGCAGGAAACACAAATCTTTGAGTCTATTTCTTCTGACATTTGGGTCCTTAGCATAGACTGGTAGAAAGGATTTCTTATGCTGGATGGTTCAAACAAAGCTAAAAATAAAGCTGATATTGGGTCAAATGTGCCTCACCTCCCTCTTTACCAGCCATTTTCTACGTTGGAGCTGATGTCAGAATGAAACAGATTAGGTATTTTCTCCCAGTTATGAGTCACAATTATTGCAAATACTGTAGGTAGGCTTGATTTCACGCAAACTTATCTGCCTCTGGCTTTCTAGAGGTGCTTTCAATGACAGCAGGACTAAACTGAGAATTTTACCCAACGTGCATGAAAGGTTCAGGAAGGAAATACTTCTCACTGCAGCAATGAATGTTTACCATGTTGGCGTATTACTACTCTTCTCTTCCTATTTCCTATTTAAATGAATTGAGTGGTTTCTGCTTCCCATAATAGGAAGTTTACCTTTCCATGGAGTACAAGAAACAAGTTGAATCTATATTTCTCTCAAGTCAATATGGGACATCCTGGTAAAAATCATTATGCATATGTTCCTATGCATGATGCTTTAAGAATAACTTGAATCTCTTAGATCATTTCTGTTTTTTGAACATCTTTGTGATTTTTGCTCTATTTTTTCCAGCTGTCTAATATAATTGGCACCCACATCCTGTTTTGGGGCCTTTATGTTCTAAAATCAGATTGTTGCCAGGTTTAGTTTTGGCAGCTTGCAAGATAAATGAAAGGTTTGGCTGAGACAGAAGGTATAACTGGCAATGCTGCTTCATCTCTGCAGTGAAGAAAGGTAATGCTATTCACCTAACTTTCTACAAAGAAGCTTTTGTAAACAAAAGAATAGTGACCGTGTAAATTTCCCATCATGCTCTGCCCTTGCCTTTAAGCCTTATTCCTTCAACTCAATATGTACTTCATTTCTAAAGCCAGAAAATATACAGATTAAGATTCATGATCTCGATACAATTTTCTTCAGCTTTCAGTAGATTACTGACTGATGTGAAAGTTAATGATTTACATGGAAGCCATATTGCATCCCTCCAGGTAACCCTGACTTGAAGTGAGCCTTCTGCCAGTATCTCTGGTGTTTTGTTTGAAGATGAGTGACAGCACATTCTCACATCTGCTTGCAACTAGCTCTGGAATCTGCAGCATACATGGTTTTTGCCAAGCGGCTCTCTCAATTTGCCTAAGAGTCACTAGGTGGTGCTATCCCAGAAGCAAGAGGGAATATGAAACTATTAACACGGGTTTGCGAGTTACTGAAACGTAGTTCTTAAATACCAGTAAGAACAAAAAGATACCTTTCCCACTCCGGGAAGACCTAGTGTTTGAAGTATATTTATATAACTGTCATTTCTTCCTCTGTCAAAAACTTAGCAGCTGCAAGAAAATAAATATTAAAAAGACTAAGTTCTTATACTAATTTAAGATCACATTAATCCCTGTAATTTATCAAACATACTTATCCCCTCTTAACAAACGCTTCTGTTTCACAGTAGAAGACTGTGTAGTTTAAAAGGCCAGAAATTAACAGCAGGGCTTTAAATGCACGTTTGTAATAGCGATTTATGGTTAAAAGTACGCAGAATTAGTGATATAGATGTCAGAACTTAAACATTCTGGGATTAATTTTATAGATTGCCCAGCTTGTTTTTTCTTCCTTCAGTGGAAAATTAGATGCACTGAGTGCAGTTTGGAGCCTGATTGCATTTTCTAGGGACCTGAATGAACACACTCTTATTTAACCACCCAGTTCTCTCAACTGCTGCTGGATTTGTCACTTTTTCTACAAGCACAGTTTTTTTAGTGCTGAGGATTCTGTGTATTCTAAAACTAAAATGAAATTTACTCCAAATATGAAAGAGAAACAGAGCATTTAATAAGCCTGCCACTACTCCAGTTGAATATGCATGTTCCCATTTATAAGGCATTCTTGTTTGTAGTGTTGGTTTATTGCTATCACGACTAAAGCATCAGAGAGGAAAGAAATCATGCAACCTATAGAAGAGTCCACTTGAAAGAGAAGTGGGCTTAATGGAAAAGATTAAGGAGAGCTTGGTACATTCACTACCAGTAGTAGTGAGGAGTCAGACCATTTGACTCCGTTCTGATACTTCAGAATTTTTGCAGTATCACATTTAAATGCCGATATCAATAGAGTGCTTGAGGTTTTTAAAACCCCTGGGGTCTTTGTGACTGTAGCTTCTTCCTCCAGTTTTTGCACTCACTTTATGTTCCCCAAATGATCTGACTGTGGGGAGGTATGAAGGTGCAGACTCCTCAGAAAAGTTGAAGCATATCATTCTCTATTTTTGAAACATAATCCCTGCAAACTTTTTTTCCCCTCTAAAATTCACAGACCCTTAGAGCTTTTGTCACAGTGACTCTGTTCTACCTTAGATCCTTGCTGGAGAGATAGAGAGTTGCCACCTGGAGGGAGGAAAAGAAAAATACTCTGGCCTTCCACTCCCAAAACAGTCGCAATAGAAACATTTCTGTCACAGTTCTGAGGCTGTGTACGGATTGGGCTTGGCTATGTATATTAGACTGAGCTGAGCAAGAGTACGGCTATAACAGCATCACCTCTGGTGCTTTTGGTAGCATTGGGTGTTGCTCTCACAGTTAGTGTACAATTTAGATATAACGTGAGGTTAATAAGATCATCTTGCTCAAAATCCCTAGATACGTGAGCTAGAGAACTGAAAGTGGAAGTTTTCAAAACCTTCACCATAGAGTTAGGATATTTTAACAAGGGAAAATCTTCAAAGTTTGAGGAAAATATGTTTTAAAAAAAATAAATTAACTAGAGTTAACCTGCTGAAAGGTTGCTTCCTCTCCTCAGTATTGATTTTTTGTTTATTTTATTTGTGCTTTTACATCTCCTGCCCTACATACAGCCATCAGACAAAAATTAATGATTAAAAACAATGTATATCCCATTAAAAAATAAAAATAAAAAAAAAGCAAATAGACTACATGCTGAGAAAGTCTGTCACATGTTATTCCCATTCTTTCTTTTTGCGCCTTAAAGCACACAAGAACTAGGACTTTTTGCAAAATCACATTAAAGAATTACATTTCACCATTCTTTGGCATTTTCTATTTCAGCTCAATGAAAGAAAACTACTGGGCACAGGGTAAAATCTTGGCCAATCTTCAGGCTTTGACAGTGTTTTCAATGGAACCCATTACTGCACTCTCCTACTGAACACAAGCACGTCCTCTGGCACTAGGTAGTGGAGAGGCTTCTGGTTTGGTCTAAGTCAGACTTTTTTACTGAAATACAGCGTGTTTTCATCTGGGCTTAGCGGGTTTTTCTTTTAATTCGATACATCACAGTAGAGTGAAAATCTTAAATACATCTTAATTTTGCAAATTTATCCTGCAGTAAATTCTACTTATAATGGCACTTTTGTGTTAGTATTTTCACCTCTAGGAAGTAACTGCAGGCAGTCTAAGTCAAATTAATTGGGAGAAAAGCCATTGTAATTATAGTCTCACTACTTACAGATGAATCAGAATTTACATTTTCTAAGAATTTGGATCAGGTTAATGGAAGCTGTATATTTTAGCTCAGAACACAGGCTTTCCTACTTCTGGCTGGTCCATATGTTAAAGGCATATAAAAGTTAATCAGTTTTGCTTTGCTGCCAGTGTGTTGTGTGCAAAGAGAGGCTTTAGACCACAGATGTGCAACGCAACATAATTGAGAACT